TGGGTTAAAGTTCATGCATGACGACGTCTAATTTTAGGTTCCCCCTAAAAGAAAACACACCAACTTTCTATAGTTTTGCAAATTTATATACAATAATTCGGGCAATTACCTGCCCAAAAAAATCAACGCATAGGATTACCGTAAACCAAACGAATTAATAAAAAAATTAATAAAAAATTATATTAACCAAAAGAGACGAACTATAAACAATGAAATCCGTAGGTCCACGAAAATAATTTGAGTGTAATTAACGAGAAGAAAAAGAAGAAGAAATGTTAATAAGAAGTGGAAAAAAATAAAATTGCGAAGTAGAACGTAAAATTACACGCAGCATAAAGTTAAATAGAAATTATTTTCTCACGAACTGATGACATTAAACCCACCGGAAACAATAGACCGAGAAGCAGTCTACAGAAAGATACCATCATCACACACTACACACTATAGTAGTACATAAGATAGCACTAGCACCAGAACCAAGACCAGCACCAGCAATCATACATTAATAGGAAAAAATAAGACTCGCAGAGCTTCAGAGTTCGTATCTTGGTTACGCTCCCCTGCGCACATGCGCAGCAACATGAAATTATTTTTTGAATAAATAAAAGGCAAAATTTTAAATAAAAAATGAAATACAAATGAAAAGAAAAATTACATGCAAATTTGTTACAAAAATCCAACAAACAACTGTAGATACTTTTTACTCGCATCTACAATTATACAAAGATACACATAAGTACACATTTTAAGAATATAAAGAAGTGCTGAAAAGTCAAAAAGAGTCAAAGTCAGGGCCAAGTTTATCTGTTTTTTAATTCACTCAATTACATTTCAGTTTGAAGTACTCGTACTCGTACTCGTACGCGTACGTATATAAGAGGAATTCATTTGGAGATAGCAGAGACGTATAATTAAATCTGAATAGACAGAGTATCTAAAAATCAGAATTTCTTTACTTTTCATCTTTGATTTCTACTTGTTTTTGCATATGTCTGCACTTCAAGAAATTTTGTTTATAAATCAAAAATAAGTGCGATTTCTCATTTATTTATACTGTGAGTATTGAAAGGAATTGGAGCTTAGAGTTAGAACGGAAGTAACTTGGAATTCTTAAACAAAAAAAAAATATTGACAGATAGTTATCTTTAATAGATTTCGAGATTTGAAGTAACATGGTAGACGCAATCCAATTGTTTGAAATAAATATATAAAGAATAATTCTTAGAATGAATTGTGAAAAAATCCTCAATGTTAATATAATGTTTAAGTAGGTTTAATTAATAACGTATACTATATACTAAAAAATAGAAATATTTCCTTTTGTCTTTACTACAAATATTACAACTGAAATAGAGCTCGATTATTAGAAACTCATCTACATGTTTCAATTTTAAGATATAGAGAGTAAAAAAATAACATTTTTATTCAAAAACATTAATTCATCTTAGAAATCTTAGAAAAATGTTTTTTGTGTTCTTAAAACTAAGTAACTTCGAAAACTTATGTATATAGTAATAACGCTGTTATTTCAAAAACATCTATCGGGTATAACTAATACATATATTCCAGTTCGGTTATAATTTGGATATAGCTACCATATAAACTGATATTTCAGCTACATGCTACTGTATGAGAAACTTTTTTTAAATATTAATAAAATTGGATCAAAGTTGTAATATAACTAACATATATTTACTAAGTTCACAAATTTTCACACAAGTTTAACCAGGTCATTTCAGATATGAATATCGCAAAACTTTACCGCAAGATTTTCTTTCAGATTCAAAAATTTTTTCTGCTGTACTTACTAACTTTTCCAAATGACCGAGGACCATTCAGTGGCATAGGTCAGAGTCACTTCTCCTTACTCTTATTACAAGAGGAAATCAAACAAAGGTTGGTATACTGACACAAACTCCCAGAACTACTATAATCCAAATTAATTATGGGTTCTTACAGGTTCAAGGACTGTATAAACGTGTCTAAGAACAGCTTAAGAATTATCATAGGAATCCTAACATCCTCACATAGCGAAACTGGGAAACACCACATGCTAATGCTAGTTGGAAATTCTGTGAATTCGATAATTTGTCTTTCACAATGCACAAAAGAAGGCGAATATTAGGAACGGAAATGTTACAGTTAAAGACCTTACAAAAGTTGGTATACTGAGACAAACCCCCAGAACTACTATAATCCAAATTAATTATGGGTTCTTACAGGTTCAAGGACTGTATAAACCTGTCTCAGAACAGCTTAAGAATTATCATAGGAATCCTAACATCCTCACATAGCGAAACTGGGAAACACCACATGCTAATGCTAGTTGTAAATTCTGTGAATTCGATGAAGAGTCGGCATTGCGCATATACTTCCAAACTGCATATACTTCCAAATTGTCCTTCATTAATGCACAAAAGAAGGTGAATATTAGGAACCGAAATGTTACAGATTAAAGACCTTACACTCGTTAAAGTAGGAATTATACTATGGTTTATCGAGGTAATTGGACTTATAGAAACACTCTTAATCCAGTAGGGGCACAATATATCTTAAGATCGTAGTGCTAACATCCACATAACATAACAATATAATGGCACCATATATAGATTATTAGATCAAGAGATCTTGTTTTCTATAAAACAAATGAGTAGTCGTTTATAAAATGATATTTCTTTCTTCCACACTCAAAAAAATGTGTTTATAGTATATGGTTTGTATAGGGTATATAATAGACCTTTTAGAACAACTGAAGATATTTTATAAAAACGATCATTGATATATGTTCTATATACTATTCAGTATGTAAGAAGTTTCAAAAAATTTTACACTACCCAAGTCAAATCGAAAAACAGTCAAATGGTAATCATAAATTAATGTCTTCTGTCGTTTTTGATGCTGTTAGCTGACACTTTGACTTTTGTTTATTTGAACACGTAATACCAACTAAAACAATGAATACTTATCATAGTGAAATCTCGAACTTTATATTGTAAAGTTTTTTTTGTCTTTTTTGATGCTGTCAGCTGACACTTTGACTTTTGTTTATTTGAACACGTAATACCAACTAAAACAATGAATACTTATCATAGTGAAATCTCGAACTTTATATTGTAAAGTTTTTTTTGTCTTTTTTGATGCTGTCAGCTGACACTTTGACTTTTGTTTATTTGAACACGTAATACCAACTAAAACAATGAATACTTATCATAGTGAAATCTCGAACTTTATATTGTAAAGTTTTTTTTGTCTTTTTTGATGCTGTCAGCTGACACTTTGACTTTTGTTTATTTGAACACGTAATACCAACTAAAACAATGAATACTTATCATAGTGAAATCTCGAACTTTATATTGTAAAGTTCTTACTTTACAGACTACTTGCTTAACTTCTGATACGAATTAAATTTCTTAATTATTTGTCTGTATGATGATGACGATTATTAGAACTGTATTTTAATAAAACGTGAAATATATCTTTAAGTAGACCTATTTAAAAATTAGTACTCTTTAAATGTCTAACGTAATCACTTCAGTAAATGACGTAGATGATTTATTACGTTTCTAATACGTTAATTAACTTGTTATCTAAAGAGTTTAATTTTAAATTATCATTAAAGAATGCATTTCAACAGTTTATTTAATTTTTATTTAAATTTTATTCAGTCATAAATTGCTACTACAAGAAAAAATATGTAGCGATTAGCATAAATAAGAATAAGAATAAGAATATAAAATATAAAAAAAGGGTAAGTGTTTAAGCAAGTAAAAGTGTTTTCGTTGTTTGCTTAACAGTTCATTTAAGCAATTAGCAATTTCATTTGATAAATGTTAGAAAAAACGAGAGAATTTTACATATTTTGAACTGCAAATGTCAGATACATTTAGAGAAAAAGTCAACGGAAAATAGCAAAAAACTAACAACCGAAAAAACTCAAATGCAAAAATATAAAGAAAAATTAAAATATTCTACTGGATAATGTTTGGAATCATTAAGAGAAAATATATCCCGAGTTAAAAGATATAAATAATAAAAAATCTATAACAATAGCAAAGAGTATATGATAAAATATAATATATATTTATCGATAAGTGCTTTTTTATAATAAATTTCCTTAGAATAATAACAAAATATTTTATGCCAATAACGTATTTAATAAACGCCATATTAATGGACCAATCAAACTTTTATTATCCCGGATGGAACATAAATTATTTGAAGTCAAAGTGCATATGTTGTCTCTATTATAGTACAATATTATTTAATTGTATCTGAAATTGTGTTCATAGGTGCAAGAAAATATTGTTTGTTACATTAAATGTTTGTTTTTTTTTTGTTTTGTTTACAAAGTGTGCAATATTTTATTAATTATTTCATATTGTTGGAGATAATGCAAACTATTTTGCTTGGCAGTCATTATTATTCGCACTAATTGCAATAAATTATAAAAAAAAAATTTATTACAATTTTTATTTCATTTACAAATACTTAGCCACACCTCGTATGTATGATTGCGACTTTATCTAGTATATTTACATTTACGTCTAATATGTGCTAAAATTGAATTGGAAAAATATTTTACATATATTGTTTGGTAATGCAAAGCCAAAACAAGATTAAAGACAGGGTTTGTACTCTTTTTAGAATATAC